TTTTCTGTTAAAGCATCAAATTTTAAACAAAAAAGTTCATAATGACTTTTCCGCTAAAGTCAAAAATAAAGTCAAAATAACGATAAATATTTTTAATTATTTGCAGTATTATAATATTAAGACGGCTATGAAAACAACATGGCGTTCGCGATTTGACAGCATTAAGATAAGCGAAAAATTGTTAAACTGGACATACTCGCAACTAGAAGGCTTTGGAAAACAATGATAAAATCAAATAATGTCAAACATTAGTGTAAATACTTGTTTATAAGCTTTATTATGTCATTAATTTAAAGAAAAATGTTCTCCCATGAAGAAAAGTGTGATATGTTAGAATGCTATTTAGTGTGCAGAAAATCCTCCTTGAGAGCAAGAGAATACTACAGTGAATTATATCCCGCTCGCATTCAACCGTATGAACGATATTTTCTGAGACTTTATCGAAAATTTAGGGGCAACGAAAATGTTTTTGCTAAAACAAGGGCAAAAAAAGAATTCATAATAAGCGAGGCCACGGAAATTGCAGTTATTGGATATTTTGAAGCTTATCGTGAGAATTCAATAGCAGATATTCTCAAGGACTCTAATTTCAGTTATGGTACTGTTCAAAGGATTTTAAAAAAATACAAATTTATTCCGTATAAGTACCGACCAGTTCAAACGCTTTTGGCAGGGGATCCAGAGAGAAGACTTGTTTTTTGCCATTGGTATCTTAGCTTCTGTCGCCAAAATGTAAATAACTTTCGTTACCTTTTATGGACAGATGAATCAAATTTTTCAAATTCTGGAATGTTTAATAGAAAAAAACACCATTATTGGTCAAGAGAAATTCTTTTGTTAGTACATCCAAGAGGCCCACAAGTCCGTTTCAGTTTCAACGTTTGGTGCGGTATAATTGGTTCAAAAATTGTTGGCCCGTTCTTTTATGAGGGAACCCTAACTGGTGAAAGATATGTGGAATTTATGTCAGAAATTCTGACTAATTTCTTAGACGAATTGGATCTTATAAGTAGACATCATCTGCATTTTCAGCAAGATGGCGCACCTGCCCACAACTCCAGAGGTACTTATCATTTTCTAAGTACTACTTTTAATGATCAGTGGATAGGAACAAATGGCCCAATACAGTGGCCTCCCAGATCACCAGATCTAAACCCACTTGATTACTTCTTGTGGGGTTACTTAAAGAACCAAATTTACAAGCGAAGGTACGATAACCTTGACGCGTTAAAGACTGCAGTTAGGGAAAAGATAACCCAGATAGATGGTAGGACCATACTTAAGACAGTTCGAGCAGTTGAAAAACGTGCCCAAAAATGTATTGAAGAACAAGGTGGTGTTTTCGAGCATCTTCTTTAAAAAAAATTGTTATTGTATTTTGTAAGATTATAAGTTGATGTTGAAAATAAAGTTTGTCGATACAATTTAATTGTTTCAGATTGGAGGCCATAACTTCAACAATTTGTAACCTAGGAGAAAAGTTATTGTAAGCTTTTTTGTTTAAAATTTGATGCTTTAACAGAAAAAAATATAATATACAGGGGTTTCCATTTAAAAAAATGTTATTTTACTGAAAAAAATCAAAATAACGACTCTCAATTGTTTTTTTTATTTCTCATTTTTACCAGCGTTAAAAATGCTACTAGTTTGCTAATTTAAACAATTTTGTATTTTCACTAATAACAAAGTTACTAATGGTGGACACTTAATTTGGATAACCCTGTATATATATATATATATATATATATATATATATAAAGGGTGTTCAGATAAGGACGCTCGAAAGTTAAAATGGAAAAAAAAGGAAAAAAATTTAAGTCAGCACTAAAAGTCTATATTGATCGTAAATAGCATTCGACGACATTATGTATGGAAGATTATATCGTTTAAATGGCCACCGCGACTGCGCTGTACAGCGTGCATTCGCATGGTCCAATTTTCGAGCACTTTTCCGCACATTTCAGCGTCTACCTGTCCGAGGACGCGAATGATGTTGGCCCTTAATGCTGCAATTGAATGTGGCTTATCCGCATACACTCGAGACTTCACGTAGCCCCACAGGAAAAAGTCTAAAGGCGTTATATCGCACGATCTTGGTGGCCAGTGCACATCGCCGCCGCGCGAAATAATGAAACCGTTGAACTTTTCATGCAGTAAATCCAGCGTTGCGCGTGCGGTGTGGCACGTAGCGCCGTCCTGCTGGAACCAGATGTCTGTTAGATCCATATCGTCCAGTTGAGGCCACAGGAAATCATTAATCATGGCGCGATACCGATCTCCATTGACCGTAAGCGCGTTGCCCATAGCGTCCTCAAAAAAATATGGACCGATTACGCCGCCAGCCCAGAAACCGCACCATACAGTCACTTTAGCAGGATGCATAGCAATTGAGCAAGTCACTTCAGGATTTTGGTCAGCCCATATACGGCAATTCTGTTTATTGACATACCCATTCATCCAGAAATGCGCGTCGTCGCTGAAGATGATTTTTCGTGCAAATGCAGGGTCGACTTGCAACTGCTCTAGAGCCCATGCGGCAAATGTACGGCGCTGTCCATGGTCTTGCGGTTTCAATTCTTGCGTCAATTGAATTTTGTACGCGTGCAATTTCAAGTCTCGACGCATAATTGTCCATGTTGAGGTCTTTGGAAGGGCAAGTTCTTGTGCACGTCGCCGCAATGACTGATTCGGGTCTTGACGCACGCTCTCTCGCACAGCAGCAATATTCTCGATTGTTCTTACTGTTCGTTGCCGTACGGGTGTTGTTTGGTCTGCCACTGAGCCAGTTCTCTCAAATTTATTGAGCAGACGTCGAATAGTGGACTCAGCAGGACGGCCATGCGCACCATAAATTGGACGCAATGCGCGGAACGTTTCACGAACCGAACATCTGTTTTGATGATAAATTTTCACACTTTCCACGCGTTGTTGAATCGTGTACTGCTCCATGATTAAATGTCAAGACTAACTTAATAACCTCACAAAATTTGACAGCTGTATCCCCACCGGTTTGGGCGCGCGCGCCGTTCAAACATCGAGCGTCCCTATCTGAACACCCTTTATATATATATATATATATATATATATATATATATATATATATATATATATATATTCTATGATAATGGATGTGGTAGAAAAGAAAAGGGCCGATTTCATCAACATTAATATTATGGACCAATGGGAAAATACCTTATTGAAATGCAATTTGACGGAAGCTGTCAAAGGTCTCTGAATATCAGTGATTTCTATTGAGATATTGAATAAAATTGTGAAAATTCGACTGTATTATAAACAAGACCACTTTTTGATTCCAACATGATGCTTTTGTACAGAAAAAAATTTACTAGGTATCATGATTATAAGCATCTTTGGTAGATTGTTCGATCCGGAATGGGAAAGATCTCCTATTTATGAAAATATTTTTGGTATCATCTAACCGTTGCAATCAGTGCACAAACACTGTGACATATGATTTATAGCATAACCCGCTGCCCTATCAATACAAATTTAACATAAATCAATTTCAAGCGGATAACCAAATGAAAATGGTATTTACCATTTTAGGTCGGTATTTACCATTGACATCTTACCCATATAGACCTGGTGACCTGGAATGTTCACAAAAGTTCTTCCTCCACAACAAACCCTGTTTTATGCGATGTTGCCAAATAAGTTGGCCCCACGGTCCTTTTGACATTGGTTCCACGGTATCCACAACTAGCCAAATGACCTATTTCTGTTGCAGAAAGGTTGTTCTAGAAGAAATTTATGTAAATTATTATATACCTATAATAATTTATAGAACAAGTGAAGAATACTCGAATTTTAATACAAATCGAGGTATAATACAAACCAGAGTATGTTCTACATATTTGTGATTAACGTTGATATACGGCAACGTTAGTAGTAGCCTTGTAGTAAGAGTGAGTCATCGCCTGTGAATCTGTGCGTGTTCCATGTTTTGGCTGCCATTATAATTTTATGTGAAAATCGCATTTATCCTCGTGCTTGATTTTCTTGTGTTTTTTAGACTTTTATTAAATTATGGCGAGACAAAAGTGTTTTTTTGTGTAAGGTTGAGGCTGGAAAAGCAGGCAGTGAAGGGATAACTTTTCACAGGTAAGGTTATGTTTACGATTCTACTCATTGGCGTGGAGCTCGTCATTTTCCGGATCCACTCCGTATTTTATATTTTTTTACATGTAAAACAGTGTTTAGAAAAATTTTCATAACATTCTTAAATGTAAGGAAAAAAATGCTGTTTTTTATGAGTGCCCATAAATCACCCAAATATATCGTTTATCACAAATGTTCGAACAATGCATCTTACTTGAATTTCTAATTTTCATTCCAGACTACCTGCAAATGAAAAACAGAGAGAGAAATGGATGTCTTTCTTGAAACTTACCGAGCTAGAACCTCAATCCCACAAAGATGGTTAGAATATGCTCCAAGCATTTTTTGCAACAAGATTTCACTACTGATGCTAGTGGAAGAACTTGGCTAAAATCTGGTGCTGTTCCAAAGTCCATTTGGCCAGTTGTTTCCTCTCAATGGTAAGAATTTTATACACTCACAAAATGTTTTTTAGATTATTTTACCCAAGGCCACCTTACGCTATGTAGATGGACCCACAGGAAGTTCAGGACCTGAGTCCAATGTGGCTTGAGCCCCCAGGTCAAAGCAAGATCAGGGAAAAAGAATTATTCAGACATCTCTGAATTTTGGTTGATTTTTGAGCATTTGGGTACTGTGACCAAGCTGTGGTTCTGGGCCTGGGCCGATAGATAGATAAACTTTATTTGTTGCATGTAATCACAGTGGTGACAAATACACAATAAAATACAAATATACAATACAAATAAGCTTAAAATAAAGTAAATATCACAGATATGAGATGACATTAAAATCACTGTCCTCCAAAAATTCTTGGACCTGATAATAGGCCTTGTCACAAAGGATAGTATGCAACATTTTTTTGAAATAGTTGAGAGGTATCTTATTCCAAATTTTGGTTATCGAGAATTTAACATTCCTCTGGAGTAGTCATGGTCAATGTGTTTGATATGAGATTAGATCTATTTCTAGTACTGTAGTGGTGGAAGTATGGATTCTGGAAAAGATCTGGATTTTTTTTATGAATACTATTGAATCTAAAATATAGATACCAGCCACAGTCAAAACGCCCCTTTCTCTGAATACTTGTTTTTCAGCTGTCATTGAAACACATTGCAAAGATGTTCCTAATGCATTTCTTTTGAAGCATAAGTTAGTGCTCTCCATTGCCCCACAAAATAATTCCGTATGACACCCTGGAATGCACATATCCAAAATATGCTGTTAAGGCAGCCCTCTTGCCAAGACTTCCAGACAATATTCCTATCACATAACTGAATTTGGCAACAGATTCACATACATCTTCAATATGGTCTTTCCAATTGAGGCAGCAATCTATACTAACACCTAAAAGTGAGGTAGTGTTTACAGCATCAATAGTGTTTCCATTAAAAGAGATGGAAAAGTTATTGCTTTCTAAGTTTCTACTGAATTGCACTAGTTGTGTTTTCTCTAAAGTTAATAGTAGTTTATTGGATGAGAACCAGTTCTGAAGTTGTTCTAAGTGGTCAGTTGCAACAATTTTAGTTCTTGCCTCTGAGTGTTCACTGATAAATAAAGATGTATCATCGGCATACATGTTTAAATCCTGCATTAATTGCATTATGTCATTGACATATAGAATGTAGAAGAGAGGTCCTAAGGGGACAGTTATATTGTCACTTGGTCTGTTATGAATATAAAGCTTGTTATACAAACAGATAAGAATGGTTACTTAATTGGTGACAATATAATATATTGTTTTAGTACATCATCGTCAAGTATTGATATTTCCTCAAAAGAAGTTTCTGTGATGCCAAAAGGTATTGCAAGCTCCCTAGATGAGACTGGCAGCTCCATAAGAAGCTCTTCATCCAGAATAAACACTGATGAAAGGTATGTTTTGTGAAAGATCCATGTACTGTAGGCTAATTTAATTTAAATTTGGAAATGTACTATTTATTTCTTCTAAAAGTATTTTAGAAATTTTAGTACAGCATTTCAACATAATTAAAACAGTCAGTTGTCTGATTATAATTGCTTCAACTGGGCTAGGAGTATCAATGCAAAAATGTACTGTAAATATTTTATATTTGTTTCATATAAGTCAAGCAAGATGCCACATTATTATTATTATTATCATTATTATTATAATTACTATTCTTATTATTATTATAATTACTATTATTATTATTATTATTATTATCTTTTTCTTCCACAGACGTATCTGTCTGGTAATAAAGGATAGACCAGATATCAACCAGATATCAAAGAGACTATCCAAGCACCTTCCTTAGTATATGCGCTGTTCCTAGTAGTGCCGTTTTTTGAATTTGGTAGAGTGCTGATTTACCGGGTATTGAGTCACAATTTCCGTGGAAGGTTTTGGTGATAGTTCCTAATGCACCGACAACGACAGGAGTTATCCAAGCTTTCACATGTCACATCCTCTGTATTTCTATCTGGAGATCTCTGTACTTAGATATCTTTTATTATTATTATTATTATTATTATTATTATTATTATTATCATAATTACAATTATTATTATTATTATTATTATTATGATTATTATGATTATAATTATTATTATTGTTATTATTGTTATTATTATTATTATAATTACAATTATTATTATTATTATTATAATTATTATTATTATTATAATTACTATTATTATTATTATCATTATTATTATTATTATTATTATTATTATAATTATTATTATTAGTATTATTATAATAATAATAATTATTATTATTATTATATTTAAGATTATGCATAAAATATATTTTATATTTTTTAGTTTCAATGTGGAAGATTGGCCATCATGAAGTTCTTCTAAAACTTGGAGTGTCTCACCTGCAAGTGTGACAACCTCAGAAAATGGTTATGAATGAGATGTGTTTACTAAATCTGTTCAAGCAAAGAAGAAAAGAAAGAGGTACAAAACCATACTATCAGAAATAAATTCTTCATTCAATGTCTATAGACAATATTCATATACAGAGCAGGCCGGCAATGTCTGAAGACTGAGTCTCACTGTATATGAGAGAGAGGGATGAAAGAGAAGCGTACAACACATTATTTTAGAAAGAATGAATGGCAAGCTACAACAAGGCTTTGCAACCATTGTTTCTGTCACTGCTAGGTAACATGGTGATTGGTGCACTCTATCTTAGATGTTTGTGTTATAAATATGCGTCTCTCGTTTTCCAGTATCTCAGTGCTTTTCACAGAAAATTCCCATATTCGCAATCAAGTTGAAATTTGAGACATATAGGTACTACATTTTAGCGTAGAAATGACAGAATGTTCCATGTTTCACTGCACATTTAGACAGTTCTTTAAAAAGAAGAAGATTGATTCCATTAGCCCAAATTCTTATTTGCTAATTTGGCCCATTCAACAATTTCGTAGGAGAGGGGGCTTTTGAAAATCACTGTATAAATATATAAACACACTGAACACTGATACCTCTTTGTCATCTGTAAAATTAATCATTCACAACATTCATAATGATGGTTTTGTTATTGAAGGAAGAGGTATGTGGGAGACTTAACCAGTAGCGACTTTTCTACACCTGAGAAGAGAAAACGGAATTTTCGTCTCATGAAAGACACTATTTTGAGACAGAGGAAGTTACTACAAAACGAACAATGTTTGATCCGATATTTCAGAAATAGAATCCAAACAGAAGGAATTCTTTGATATGCTAAATCAAAAGTTTCATATGAATGCTTCAACTGAAAGTGAACTCAAGGTAAGGGAAAAACAAACAAAAACCACAATAGGACAGTTAATTATCAACAAAAGAACCTAAAACTTCCTGATATAGGAAAAATACAAATAAATTGACCTAGCCTATAACCAAAGTCACGAAACAATATGACAGCTCACCATATAGAAACAATGGGTGATATCCAATTTATTTATATTTTCCCGTGAGTTTAAAGTTTTTCTTTCTTGCTTAACTGTTTATGGTGGTGCTAGCTTAAAACACTGGAATAATTCGAGTCACCTCAATTTTTAAATTATTTAGGCCCGTATCGTCAGTCGTCCCTACAATTGTAGGGCGCGTTTATGGCCTCCTTGATTGTCATACTCTTTTCTCTCCTCCTTCTCTCCCAAAAATTTCTAGATTACACTCGTCCCGTGTCAGCGTCAGCGCTCTCCTATTGTTAAGATATGTTTTCCTTTTAAATTGTAGGAAATTTCAGGCTGATAAAACATGATAAAACTCAAAAGCAAGCACAATTTGATGCAAATAGATGTTTGTGACATAACCTCAAAATAGAGCGCTGACACGGAGAAGTAGAAAACTATGACAATCAAGGAGGCCATAAACAATTGTAGGGACGACTGACGATACGGGCCTGAATAACTTAAAAATTGAGGTGGCCTTAGGCCCGTATCGTTAGTCGTCCCTACAATTGTAGGGCGCCTTTATGGCCTCCTCGATTGTCATAGTTTTCTACTTCTCCGTGTCAGAACTCTATTTTGAGGTTATGTCTCAAACATCTATTTGCATCAAATTGTGCTTGCTTTTGAGTTATATCATGTTTTACCAGCCTGAAATTTCCTACAATTTAAAAAGAAAACATATCTTCACAATAGGAGAGCGCTGACGCTGACACGGGACAAGTGTAATCTAGAAATTTTTGAAGGAGAGAAAGCAGTATGACAATCAAGGAGGCCATAAACGCGCCCTACATTATTATAGGGACGACTGACGATACGGGCCTTAGACTTATGGAATGTCAGAAGTGGACATCACCTATACCTTAAATCATGAAAGATTTCAATTTCAATCACGAGATAATGGCAAAATGTGACAGGTACCATATAGAAACAATGCAAAAATGTCATTCTTGAAAGTTGTTCTATATTGAAGTATTGTGATTACAAGTGTGTTTTATTCCCAAGCTGCTCATACATACCAACATTAAAGATATTGAATTTTGCTTTTATTGCTGTTTCAGGCGTGTCTGTCGGGTCCAGCCTCTCAAATATTTGAAAGGATGTTAAAAGGTCCATCAACACAAAAATATGATCCTGTCTTAAGAAGCTTTGCAGTGACCCTTGCGTTTTACTCACCTAAGGCATATACTTTTGTTAGAAACACATTTAATAAATCTTTACCTGATTTAAGTACAATCAGTAAATGGTATAAATCAGTTAATGGTTCTCCTGGGTTCACACAGGAAGCATTGGAAATTCTAAAAATTCTAAAGCGACAAGCAGATGCAACGGGTTCACATGTTCTGTGGATTTAGATGAAATGTCTATTCGACAACAAATTGAGTGGACAGGAACCAAATTCACTTTGTATGTTGATACTGGGGCAAATATTTATTCAGATATGCTACCTGAAGCAAAGGATGTGCTTGTATTTATGTTGGTATGTCTTAATGGATCATGGAAAATTCCTGTTGGCTACTTTTTTTTGGCTGGATCAGCTGCTGCGAAAAAGGCAGAGTTACTAAAAAATTGTTTTACCTTTTTATACGAGTCAGCTTAACCATTTTGATATTTTGCACATTTTCAAATCCGTGCAATGATCATTGTCAACTGCTTATTGTTAACATAACTTTGTGCTGGTGTGATATTCCATATTTACAATTGTTAGGTATATTTTTTTGACACATTTCGTATTAAGAATGTCAAGAAACTTTTATTTTGCATTGATTGATCTCCATATAAAATATTTTGTAAACCATCAAATAAACATTTTATTAAGTAGGTATTTACTGTGTTTTATTTCTTCCATATTGGGGTCTTGTACCTACCACAAAAGACACACATTTTGCTATTTTTGTTTACAATCATAAAATGAAAGCACAATGTGTAAACACACTTCATTTTTTGCATTCATGGCCGATGATTAGATGTATGAGGAGCGGGGGGAGGAAAGGGGAAGTTGCATACTTTTTGTTGGAGACACCACGACCGAAAAGAGGGACATTTTTATGTCGCCAGGCTTTTGTCAGGAACAGTAGGACAGAGTCCGAAAGTGGGACGTACGGTCACCTTAATAATAGTATACCTACAAGAAAGCCGTTTTTTGTACAAAGATGAGCCATCCAACTTGCACATACCTCTTGCAACTTCTGGCCTCCAAAAATACCAAATTGCAACGCTGTATTAGCACCGAAGACGGTCTAAAAAGTATGATTGATACTGGAAGGTAATGTCCGAGCAATAAATTATAGGTAAAAGGTACCGCATTCTATAGAGGCGCGTGGCTTGGTTGTCTCCAGTGGCGGTGGGCTATTTATTACTGTTGATCAGGTGTAGGCTTAATTAAATTCCTAATATGGTGTGATTTTCAAAGCAGATTACATCTTTATTTGTAATATATCTCCAGGCTTGTGAAAAGCAAAATATTTCTTTCAAATTTCAATATTCAGGGAGAAGCAGGTTGTTTGATTAATTCTGATATGGTAAGTTGGATGTTTGGTATTGAATAGACAAGCCGTAAGTGCTAGGCTACCGAACATAGTTACGTTTGGAAACTGAACATTCTCATGTAAAATATAAATATGAAAAACTTTTAGTTTACGAAATTAGCGCTGGCTATTTATCCTTCTTGCAACTAATTTCATTAGCTCTGAAAAGTATTTCACCAGTATTTAGTTTAACGACTTTCTGTGTCTATACAAAACTGCATTCTGGTCTACATGCTTCTTACTTTGTAGACATACTGGTAGCTTCAGCGACTTTAGACAGAAACCAAATATATAGAATTTTTTCTTTTCCAGAAATCCTCCCAATGCATTAGCAACAATTATGATCAGTTAAGATTTGTTAATTTTATTCATCTGTGACTTCCTAGTTTAGTCCGATGACGGAAATTTGAAATGTGCCCATAAAAATGAGTTGTAGGAGCCACTGTTGTGGTTGATTTCGCGATAGTAATTGTTTCCTGTAGATTGAGATATTGCTCAACCAGTGGTGTTATCCAGGAAAAGATCTGGGGGGAGGCTCAAGATCCAGGGTGACATGAAAATTCCGTTTCGGGGCGGGGAGGGGTGTCTTGGAGATATAAAACTGCATAGCAGAGGGGGGGACTCGCTTAGTCCAGGTAGCTACACTTCACAGAAGGTATAACATGCTGTAATATGTAGAAGAAGCGTAATGAGCTGTTGCGCTTCGGGAGGGTAGACTCCGAGGAGCCCCAAAGCCCTCCATGAAAACGCCGGTGTGCCCAAAAGTTCCCTGGGGATCTTAAAAATTTGCTACGCATGTCTAAAGATGAGTTTGATTTTCTCTTAGAACGTGTTTCTCCTCACATTACGTAGTTATGCCTGGCTACCGATTGTCGTGTCCATGCCCGAAAATCAAAGGTGTTTGATGTCGGTCGTGGGTAAGCGTGGAACTGTCGCTGTCCCGATGTCGTCAGAGACAAGTTCACGACACCTCGTTCAGGCAGAGGCAATTCCACGCAAGCGAGACTCACGCAAGCGTGCCACGCCTCGTGAGTACGGAGCTTCATAATGGGTTTGACATCCTACTGAAAGTAGATATGTAGTAGAATTTCATGTTTAAAGATTTACAGTAAAGACATTTCTCATATGTTCTGATGTAACCGTTCGTGCCTAAATTCGCATCGGCGAAATGCGATTGTCAAGCGATTAGTGGTTTTCCCTGATAGTCGATGATTTGCCATGCTTTTTGTACATTTTCGAGTAACATATATGTTATAATCCTACAATTTTACGTCATTGAAGGTATGCCTAATGAGGTAAGAGAAATATTTCTTTATGATTGATAGCATATAATTGTCAAACATATGAATCTTGAACAATAACATTGTGAAATATCTAAGTAACTTCTCGAACAAAATTCAAATAACGCGAAATTCAGGAAATAGTACGGAAAAAGTTTAAACATAAAGCGATTATGAGGATGAGCAGTTTATGTTGGAGTCTATTGATTATCAACAAAGATATGCTATACCTGTGTTCTAGTTGTAATAATAAATTTTCTTGAAACACAAAAAGTTAATAATCTGGTCAGTCAGGAGATGTAGAAGTATCGTCACTACTAGAGCTTGAATTGTAGGAATCATCACTGTCACAGTCGTCGTTGCTACGTTGATGATTACTGGCTCTATTGCTTTTTCTACTCGTATATGGTGATCTAGTTCCCTCCCTCTTCTTCTTTAATCATCCATATTGGACACCGTTCGAAATCCGGGTATTGTAGGCACAGTTCGAGGATACTTATGTTACAGTATTAACGATTCAAGACATTTAACCGCAACAGGATGGAACTATTCTTCTGTACCTATTCGTGATGCTACCACTGGATATTTTAGCCTAAGAGTTCCACTTAAACACTTACTGAATTATTTCAATGACTATAAATTTGTTGCATATGGGAAACATACTATACGTCTAGTGAGAGCACGTAGTGATAATAACTGTATGCTTGTTACCTAAGCTGCTGGCGCCGCCGCCGCCGGTACTACACAAGCCAAACTTGAATTTGAGGATCTCAAACTGCTAGTAAAACATATTTACCCTAATGATGTGATTAAAGCGAATCTACTAGAAAATATTAAAAACGATAAACCGGTGTATGTACCATACAGAAAGTGGTCTCTACACGAACTTCCAGCTCTAACAGTTAACGCTAAACGTGAAATATGGCAGATACAAACGTGTGCTGCTATAGAGTGTCCACGATATGTAATAGCGGCTTTTCAAACAGATAAATTAGATCAAGCTAATCAGGATTCAACTTTATTTGATCATATTGATGTGACAGACGTTCGACTGATCATCAATGGGGAATACTATCCCCATGAGCGTTTGAGATTTGACTTTGATAGAAACGATTATGTGAACGCTCACATAAATTATATAGATTTTAATCCGAGTTATAAAAATACCCCATTCAAGCCTGCACTACTTGACTATCCATCATTTAAAAATCGTGCTATTTTTGTTATTGACTGCTCTAAACGTAGTGAATCAATAAAATGGACAACCGTAGAATGTGAAATTAGACATTGAATCAGCAAAAGGATTCCCCACCAATACACGTGTTTACAGTGTATTATCATACATGATTGTGTAATGGAACTGCATCCCCTCTCCGAAATAATTAAACAATATATGTAAAATCATCCGTTTTTATTTTTGTCAATCATTTACTTGTAGTTTATTGAATTGGCAACACACACACACAATGGCTACAATGTGCTTTGTTGATCTGCAAGGATTTTATCTTCAGAATTACGGGTTTGTAGTTGAAGAAATGTCGATACTGGTTGGAAGTCAAAGCAATTATTTCTTATTCAGGTCTATCAATAAATACAGTTCATTAACCTCTAAAGTTACGATATAGTATAGTGAACGGTACCATGGACTAATATATGAGAAGGGCTACGTAGATTATAGTTACTTGATGAAATCCTCATGAGTCATTTAGCTGATGTGGATATGGTATACGTGAAAGGACCGTGCAAACGTCAATTTTTAATTGATAGATTAAATGATATGCAAATTACTAAGCCCCATATCATCAATGTTGAAGATTGTGATTCATGTTTCACCACAAAATGTGAGAAAATTGAAATGTGTATACCACTGTTTAAATCATAATGGTGTATATGGTAATATGTGTTCTGAATAACTGTCTTAAAATCAAAGAATGAGTATATAAATGTCTACCTATGTAGTTCACTCATAGATTCAAACATGCAGCAGCAGCAGCAGCAAGAGCTTCTGAAACAACACATCAAAAATATTCAAGTGATTAAACAGCAAATTCGTCAATATGAAGATACTAAGCATACACTTGAAAAACTACAACGACTATCCATTCACGACGACGACGACGAGGCTAAATGGAGGCGAAATGTGTTTCACAGTTATGCAAGATTTCAACATTTGAATTGTAAATCATCACGAAGAATACATTTAACAAATATATTGTAATTACATATATCAATAAAAATGTATTTGACTTATATTAGGGCTTTTTTATAAAATGATTACATTTCTAAGTGTTAGGTAATCGTTAATCATGATTACATTAATGTAGGTGATAACACCATGTACTATGTACTATTGTAAAGTTGTCCTTCAAGATGGTTGCACATGACTGCTACTATACTTAACAATGATGTTGAGGCATTTGAAATTACAGTGCCAGAAAATGTTACTGAATATAAATTACGATTAGTACTTAGGGATCACAACTACAGAGATACTATGTGGAAATATTTTCCACCCCCACCACCACTACCTCCACCATATGCGACGTATGTAGTACCTAAAGAATATGTAGATACACTACCGACATATATGGTTTATTACATAGCTGTTGTGTATCGCTGGTGACCGTCAAACTTCAAGTTTGTTTATACCTGCAAAGTAGATGTGGCACTTGTTCTTCGTAAACAGCTGGATGATCTTCGTTATGCAACCAAGTATATTGACGATTATCATTTCAAACGAATATTTATTAAACATGTGTGTGCAACTATGGGTATAAATTTTCCATCAACATTATTAGATGAGATACTAGAGTCCTGTGTGACATACGTTAATTATGTCACGTGTGTGACATCATGTGACATACGTCACATGTGTGGCATACGACATTTATGTCACGTGCACGACATACGTCATTTACGTACACGCACGGACGCACGCACGCACGCCTAAGGTCTGCGCCCCCCATGAGCGACCCCCACCGTTACCACCGAGAGTACAAGGCCAAACAACTGGGCTGTGAAAAGCCTGTGACGTCACGCAGAGTAGGCCTATGCATGTTCTTATTGAGTTTCGCGATGCAGTCTGGCAAGAGAGCAGCGCCTCCATTTCTCTGCGGTGTTGTCATATCTTGATTTGATATAGAAGTATCGAAATCTCTACTAATTAGTTGTACC